AGGAGGGTTCTAATTTGAGGTCACCTCATTCTCAAGGTCAACAGCGCATACCACGTTATTCCATGCTTTTTGGCAAATATCAGTACGATATATACAATTTACGCAAACAGAGCTGAATCTGTTTGCTCCTCAATCCGTGATGTAAGGTCCAAGACAGATATAGTTGCCAAGATGTGTGGATATCCGACAAGAGAGCTTTGCATTTCAACAAAGTATATACAAATTCGTAGCGGTTTATCATCTAACGAGCTACAAAGCGATGTTTGAGCTGAAAAGCTCCGGCACAGTATGGCGGCTGCTAACAAGATATTCCTCGTTCTGTGTAGCGAACCGCAGTAAGCCATGGACAAAGTCCGAATAGTTTGATTTCGTCTGTGCACGGGCCAGCAATTCAAATACAGAGGAATAGCTGTTTTGAATTAGCTAACTGAACCCTTTGTCCGAATCGCCGCGGAGCAGATTGTTGTCAGAAGTTTGGTTATGAGGTGCTGCGACACGGCGGGAGTATTTCAACAAAGCGGGTAGAATCGTAAATCTCTATATAAAAATGCTAAAAGTGCTAAAAATTCATTAAAAGGAACTGTTCCCATGAAAAGTATTTCGAGGGAAACTCTAATTTAAACCGATTTGGACTTCGTTTGCGTTACTTGTGCGTTTTCATCGAAATCAGCTGATATTACTTCTAAGCAACTGGCAACCTCGATTTGAAATTATAGAACAGGTGCGCCTACCAATGGTTTGTTAAGTTGATTTTCATCCTCATTTCATACGATGAGGATGGCAGAAAAGTCGCATAACTGCTCGACACCCTGCGCTATGCACAGAAGTGATGTTGCACCACCATCACACAGTACTTACGAGTCAGAGACGAAGAGGTACTTCTGTCATCTTCATCATATGGAATGAGGATGGAAATCAGCTTGGCAAACCGTTCGTAGGTGAAGATCGTCATATCTTTCACCCACTTGCCCACAATATTTCGAGTTTTTCAAAAGACTAGGCCCACTTGTTTGCTTTCCATTCATCTGTATCCATATGTGTCCTGTGTTCTCTACGGTTGGTCATGGGTACGGAGATGAAAAGCAAATATGTGCACTTCAGCTCAAAATTTAGTCACTACTTCCTCTTGCATATGCGTAAGAATATACACAATTTAACCGAAATAAAATCCTTTTTACTGGGTGTTGTACGAGTGTATTCTTTGTCACTTCATATATGGGCGCTCGGAAAGACTGATAAAGAACTAAGGATCAATGAGTCTTACGGACATTTCCAGATCTACACTGCTATTTTCCTAATTTCAACATCGACTTCCATTGATGCACTTTTTCCGTCCATTATATTTTTGTCCCACCGATCTTGAACAGTTCTATGGTAATCTAAAGCTGTTACAAAATCAGAGAGGTGATCTCAAAATAACCAAGTTTCACTGGTTTTAGATGTCATCCTCGGTTGGAATGACACTTTTATTTTGGAACAAATTTGGCCGGTTTGTCGGTTGCATTTTCTAAGCGAAAATAAAAAAGCTGCACAGATAAATGAATGACAACGTCATCTTAATTTTTCATTTTATAATTTGTGTGTACCTCTTCTTTCACCTGTACTCTTATAACAGCTGCTAGAGTAGACAAAATCTGAGTGATCTATCTTTACAGGGAGTTAAGAATGGTTTAGACTATATTACAGAATCTCGGTATCTAAATCTCCAAAAATCAGTTCTAGTAGTTACTCATATAACTACCAACTTTGTACATTTCTCTTGTTATACAAAGTTATCCAAGACGAGCAAACTTATTTACTGCTCATAAGTATACTCGAGATAGCAAACCGTTTTATGAACTCTCAACGACTCGCCTACCTCAGTTTCGGCATACGGCAAAAGCATATCAGCCAAAGGTGGTATAACTTCATCTTTTAACTACGCAAACTTTCGTCGAGTAAAGATAAACCAATGCCTGGAAGCGAAACAAACTCGTACAAGATGGGGCAAACTGTTATTACAGGGGATTCCCTCAAGTGTCATCAATCAGCGGTTACGGAAAAAGTGCAAGATGGAGGACTCGGATTTAGGAGGATGGAAGAGTAGATAAATACCTCCAACATAGCGGACAGTTGGAACATTTTTTCTGAAACTTTATGAGATGGCTACTAAGTAGGTAAAGAAAATACACTGTACAATATTGAGATAGAGACTCGTGAAGTTATAAAGATGGAAGTATAAATAAAACTCGTTGCTAAATCAGTTTGAGATTATCTGAGGTTGCTACCAAGAGTAGCAATATTGGTGAGGTACAAATAGAGAACTCGGAAATCTAGAAGGATTGAGGAATGGAGAAACATGAGTCATGACGTAAAGCGAACAAAAACTAGTCAGAAACTCTGTATCTATGGCTTTCTGAAACGTCAGAAGAAAAAAGGTGCAGGTCAAAACTCTTAGTGGGGAAATGAAAAAATCCAATCATCTTCTTGCAATTCTCTGAGACATTTGATAAGGGTGGTAAAGAAAGCAGAGAAAAATTTTACGTAGAGAATTTGGGAGATCTAGAAACATAGAGGAGTAGACGAAGCCCATTTCTGAAAGAAACATTGGAACAAACTATTCCAATTTCATAAAACGGTTATTACGACTAACAAAAAGAGAGCACTAACCAATATGTGTAGTATAAAATAGAGTATATAAAAAATGCTGAAGATAAACAAATAAAAAGCATTACCAAAAGATTGTAGAATGAAGAGAATGAAGGTGGTTAAAGTTCGTTTTTCAGACTTATGAGATAAATAGCGAGCTTAAGCAAGATGGAGGAGTAAATGAGGATAGTTTCTAATATACTCATGAAGAAAAGTAATCACTAGCAAGCGTTGGCTTTGAGATATTTCCTGGAAGCTATTAGAATAACAGACCAATACAGAAGCTCCAGAAATTTGGAAAGTTGAAGGAATACATATGACACGTTCTCAAAAGAGTTTTAGAGTGAGACAGATTAGCGTTTCCCGAAATAGGTATTAAGAGCAACACAACAAAAACATTAGCCAAGCATATCACTCATACGTTTGGTAACATGAAGGAATATATTTAGAATGTTTCCAAAGGATTCATGAAGTCAAATTACTGAAAGCATTTAAGGTTTGGCCTAGGGCAACAAGGAAAAAGAAAAATAAACTACATTGTTACTATTGAGCGGAGGACGGTATTTTTGAATGTTTGTGGACGTTGAACATGATTTTAAAGATTTTTGGAAGTAGCAAACAGTGTTTTGAAGAATGTCAAGTATTAGCAGGTTAACATTTATCTTCCTCTTCTCTCTTTTATGATTACACTTTTATTATCACAATGTCACTTAACGGGTTGAAATCACACTCTTCACCTTAAAAGACATTTCACTTCACTAAAAATGTACTTACTTCATGTTTGTGTAGTTCATATAATAACATTTCTCTAAACTCACAGAATTTCCATTGGTTAAATATTTGGCATGCATGAAGTTTTGTACCTAATTTCATGGGAGTCTGATGCAATTCGTCTGGCCAAGTAAAACAGACTGCTGTGTGTAATTCGCAATTAGTTGGCCAAACAAGCAGATTTCTCGGGAGAGCTAGGGAACTTTCATGTTTAATTCATTCTTCTTATTCAATGGCCCCCCAACTTTATGTATAAATCTACTGGTTTCTCCAAGACTCAGATCCCATCTCTGTTTCAATGGTCTGCGATATATAATTGATCACACATCTCGCCTCAAACTGCTCACTGTTTTTAGGTTGACTTTTTGATAGAGAAAATCGATGTCATATTGGATGCAGGAACGTGTCAGAAATAACGACCGAGAAACTGATTAGCCGACGTCATTCTATGCGAGAGCCATAGATACGAGGCTCTCAACCTAAACTTTCTCAACACTCTATTCTATAACATACCGTTCCTTTTGTGGACCCTAGATTCTACACCGCATGTTCAACTTTTTAGCTCTTAATCGTGTGCTGCTCTTTCAGGGACAACTTGTTAGAAAAAGCGCCCATTCAAACGAACAAAAGAATAACATCCTTCATACGGAACGCCCGATTTCAGATCACGTAGGCGTTGCTGATACTAGCGTAGTCAATTTCTTCACGTCGTCAGCAGAATTCGCGCGGTATCCAAATAGGGGTAGAATCTGAGGGTGGTTCGATGGCTTGTACGAGGCTCAAGATGGAGGGGCATTAGGTGCTGCACGGCTCGTTAAGGAAATTGTTTACGTTAAGTTTCCGAATATTCTAACTGGGGCGAACGGTAGAGCGTGCAAAGCTTCGTATAGTAACAGTTTCTGCACTTTTTTCCAGTTGTAGCATTGACTAAGGTATTTTACCTGAAGATAATAAATCATATACTGCACTCCGGCATTTAAAAGGGTTGTCAAAGTGATTAGCGTCATCTCTAGCACAGTAGCAGGGCAATAAGTAAATTCAGAAAAGTACGTTGAAAAGAGTGTATGGCTTTGCTCACAGACAGTACTGGAATATTCAATCTCTTTTTAATATTTCTTACCCTATCTTAAAATTGAGTACTTTCAGGCGAATTTAACCTGAAAACATCTGATTAAAATAGTGATTAGAGAGGTCAAAAAGGGACTGAAGATCCTAAAGCCATCTATGAAACAGTAGCAGTACCAAACAATAAGTAGATCCCTAAATTCATTTCTGTGTTGTGTTGCTGTCCATAGATGACGCTAGTACCATTTGCAACACTTTTTTTACGTCGCAATATAGTACAAAAATGGTTTTCTATGCTCTAATCGAATACGCTACTCAGTGGTTGTAATCATCTAATTTGTTTTTTTCATAAGGAAGTATCCATAGTGGTGTTTTGATATGTTGCCGATCAACAATCAGCGTAAATATCTTGCACCCGTGATGAATTTTGTGGAAAATTGGATCCGAGAATTAATGATTCATGATTGAACCATCTGCTTTGAATGGAAATGAAAAGCGTAAATATACACTAGACAGTACAGTAAATTGCGACTTACGTTTTCTTGGGATCGTACTGTGGATTCTCGCTGGGGTCCCTTACACCCAAGTTCTTCCTGATGTCTGAAGTGTGGTTCGCAGTCCTGCTGTGTGACAGAGAACCAGGTAGCAACATTGCGATTTCTGTAACAAAGAAATTAAATGCGTCAAATGACATTTAAGGTTATCTTCTTTTATATCGAAGTAGGCATAAGCCAGGGCACCACGGCTACTATGAGGAGCTTGAAGAAACTTTACTAATCCGGCGATATTATGTAGGAGACCTCTAAGGAGCAAACCCAGTTGATATAGCGCTAGAAAATAGTTATATCGACGACGGCGTAGGTGATATCTACATTACTCTACAAGCATTCGTTCATATTGGCTTTTCGCATTTAGCCTCTCCAGGCAGATACCAGTGAATCGGTATCAGTATACACCAATGACTTTTGTGCAGTGCAAAATTTGCTTTAGATGTACAGTGAATCGATTCCAGTAACTCAAGTATAGCTTCACTATCTCTAACCTTCAACGTCTTCTTCTTTATATTCAGGCTGCTTAACGAGCATGAAGTCTGCATTACTTCAAATTCCATATGGGAGTTTTCTCAGAGCTCCCATAATTACATAAACACGTGTTTGTAATGACTTTAGATTTATAAGCTATCATCACAAGAGCAACCAAATTAATTCCAAATCCATTAAATAGTCATCTACTCTGGTATTTATCCACATCCGCACTAGATACCGGAATCACTTTTAGAGCACTATTTGCATTTGCTGCAAACACAACCCGGCTCGTGTGTACGTAGTGTATCGTTCTCTGGCTTATTCTATACAGTGTTGCCAACCTTTTTGATTTTAAATCGGATAAATTAATATAAGAAAGTTCAAAGTTTAAAAGTAGAGGAAAAATACTGAATACAGATATGATGAACTCAGATTCTAAACAAGAAGCCGGTGGAGCAAGTTTAAGAGAAGTATGTTTGAGCTACGAGTACACATGTATTTTTTGTGAAGTCTGCTTGAAAACTGCGTTACGAACTTATTGTTACCGAAACGCAGATTAGGGTGAGCTGTAGACGATTTTTTAGGTTCTATGATGTAATTTTAGGAGCAAAAATGTCACCAGAAGCTACCTTCATGGTTCATTTCGATGACACAAAAAGTTTAGCGATAAAAATAGAAATACCGCCATATCATGTGCATGGTGAGTTTTTATTGCATAATCGGTCAATCACTCCGTTATTACACAAATATCTCACCCTCTCACTTCCTTAAACCTCCAGTGTTATCGCTTAAGGGCCGATGATATGACACTTTTCTATCAATATGCCTATGTCCTTATGCTATTTGGCATTTATGATGTCACTGTGTTGTAAGCCGCTTGCACATGGCTTCATCGAACTTTTGCTTCCTATTCTAATACAAACAAGCTTTATGTATATTTCCAGAACTGGCCAGTTCGACTGCTCATGCATTGCTGAGATTTCCAGAACGTAAAAGAGTCTATTAAGACAAATGATTCTCCAATACTACTGTCCTCAGTCAACGACATTCGTTTACCTATAGTAGTCCCGGTACTTGGTTCAGCCTGTATTGTTTTAATCATCGTATTATACATTTAGCACTTGGGTATACTTCTCAGCTGCTATCTGTGAAGATAGAAGCAAGAAAAAAGACACAAGGAAATTTCAGCACATGTGGCAAACCAGCAATTTTAACTTCCACCCCTCGAACACAAACGTGTGTATATTTTATTTGGGAAATATACTACCTCCCTATGAATTTCATCTGACCGCTCTTTCCACGCCTCAAAACGTATATATCTTCATAAATCTGTATCGTGGCAAGAGATATATCAGAACACCGATGGATGAACCAGAAACTGGGTGATGAATGACTTTGGAGTATGAATTTTTGTAAAAGTCGGCCGTGGCCTCAGTCAAAGCAAAACGATTTTTACCGCCTATTCGCAGAAACAGAAGAATATTCCTTTTGTTCAACTTCCTTCTTCTTTTGATGTTTCATAACGTATCACAAGAATTATGGCCGTATCGTCAGTCGTTCCTAGAATTTAAGACACAAGTGGATAAAAGTATCTTGTAATAGGATCATTGTATGGAGAAAATTGACTTTAAACGTTTTTATTGGGACTTTTTACTTCATTGACATTTTAAATATTTAGTATAATTAGTTTGTTAATATCTTGTTTTAGCAACAAAGTAATCATAGTTTGAATCACTCCTTAAGGTTAGTTTAACGCAAAAAAGACAATTCACAAAGCAATGTTACAAGACACGTTGATGGACTTGTGTCTTCAATTGTAGGACGCCTTTATAGCCTCCTTGATTTTCATAGCTTTTTTTGTCATTCAGAAATGCGGAGGTTTTTCCAGATGTCTACTGTTTAGTGTCAGCGCTCTACTTTGAGGTTATATTTTCTTTTTCAATTCGAAGAAATTTCAGGCTGATAAAACTTGATTTATATCATCTGTTTTGGTATACATGAAATTTCTGAATACAGTAGAAACTACTTATAATGAACTTGCTTGTAATGGAAATCCGTATATAATGGACACAATTTAAGGTCCTATAAATAATTGCATGTAAAATCCTTGGATATTATAGACTCGCTTAAAATATACCCTCGCTCAAGCGGACTATTTTAATCCATTATATGCGAGCTGTTTTGGTAGTTCCCCCAAGCAGATTTAGCTGATGCAATCGTTTACGCCGGTTTGGCTTAGAAGTTTGCAATCGAACTTGGCCGCCAGTGTTATACTGTATTTATTAGAGTTATAAACATGTCCAAATGTGCGAAACGTGCATTCACTTTACACGGATAGTTCACAATAATTGGTGAGCTTGAGCAGGATTCTCAAGCAAACATATGTGCTCGTATGGCTATAAAAAAATCCACTGTGTCAAATATTTGGAAAAAACCGTGACAAAATTAAAAATGACTGGGAATCAAATAGTAAAAAAAAAGATGCGGCTATCGCTGCATCCCCAAGTCGATGATATGCTGTTTAAATGGTTTTCAACAAAAGTGTGCTACTAATTTTCCAATAAGTGGACCTATGCTACAAATAAAGGCTGAATAATTTGGGAAGTTGATTGGAGAATCAAATGTAGTTCCGGTTTGCTAGACAGGTTTAAGGAAAGACATAGCATTGTTTTTGGTGTGTGGTAAGTCAGCTTCAGTTGACAAGAACGTAACCAATGATCGAATTTCTCAAGTTTGGTCCGTAATATCCAGTCATTCTTCAGATGATAACATATTCAATGCAGATGAAGCCGGGATATTTTATAGAATGCTACCAGATAAAACTCATAAATTAAAAGGTGAAACTTTCAATGGAGGAAAACTATCAAACGAGCATATAACTGTTATGATTGGTTTTTTGTATGTATGTATCTTTATTTATGTAATACATGTTAAACAAACACATTTTAAGCTTTTAATACGTTATTTCTACATTTCTATTAAGATGATCATCCGCCTATAATAGACTATTTGTCACAGTCCCGCCGAGTCCATTATAAGCGGGTTGCACTGTATTCAAAAAGAAAACATACACAATAGGAGAGCAGTGACGCTGACACAGAACAGTAGAAATCTGAAGAAGAGAAAAAACTATGATAATCAAAGAGGCCCTAAAAGACCCGTATCGTCAGTCGTTCCTACAATTATTGTAGGACGCCTTATAGCTTCCTTGATTTTCATAGTCTTTTCTCTCCTGCAGACAGGCTGCGCTATTTCTAGATTTCTACTGTTCCGTGACAGCGTCAGCGCTCTCCTATTCTGAGTCCATGTTTCCTTTTTGAATTATAGGAAATTTCAGGATGATATAAACATAACATAACCTCAAAATATGAAAATCAAGGAGGCCGTAAGGGCGTCCTTTACGACCCTTTGTCTCATCCATTACAGTCCAACCATCATTTGGTTAAGAAAGGGACATGATTTAAGGTCGTTCGTAGGTCAAAGTGCTACATTTTTCAAATCGGCAAAACAAACAGTTCCCCAAACTTTGCTTTTCTATGCTTCACAATAGTCAGTTGACTTTTGGGAATAGTAAAAGCAGCTTTTGGGTGGTCAAAATTTTGAACATCCTCCAAGTTTCTGACCACATCAGGACGTAATGTGTTGGGACTTAAACCGGATGTTTCAAATTCGACCCTCACCGTTGGGTTCTTGGAAACGGTAAGAGATACGAAGTGGCTTGAATAGGGAAAAAGTTGCGTATTTAGATAACTAATAAGGTGCCGCTCAGAAGGTTTTGAAATACAAAGCACTTCCGGAGAGACACGAAAAAAAGCGAATGTTCCCAAAATCATGACATTATTTTTAGTGGGATTTCAGAATGAATTGCCCATTAACATTGCCACTTTTTTCCTCTACAATATGTCGTTCTATCTCTCGTTTTCCAGCATCAGCTTTATTTTTTCCAATGGCCGCCATATTGGAGTTTTGCACAGATGAATGGAGAGAAAAGAAAGAAAGAAAATAGAATATCCTAGGTCGGCCTTGAAATGATCAAATAGTCATTTGTTTCGTATACCGGATTTATTGTAAAATAGTTGTTTATTTCCTGGTTTTATTCGAAATGGGATTTTAAAATAAATTGCATGTTATTGCCACTCTTTCTTCTCTACAAGAGGACGTACTCAAATTCTCAATTAGACGTTTCTGCTTTCGACCTCCATCTTTAGTTTTGTTTGTTATGGACTTTGCGCAATCGAACACAATCTTTGATTCTGCATTTAGTTATAAATATGATACATCCATTTGTATCACGATTCACTACACATAATTATTTAAAGTAATATTATTCTTATTAGTATTTAAACGTTCAAAATTACAATGTAACGTATATGAAAAAACAAAGTTGGTGATTGAAGTAGAAAGAAGAAATCTCGAATTGAAAATTTGAGCACGCCATCGTGTAAAGGTGAAAAATTTGTAATTTCAGATGCAATTTATTTCGAAATTGCATCTGAGATAAAGACAGGAAAAAATAAAAGTGATTTTGTGAGCAATTTGGTATACGAAACAGAATGAGTATCTGATAATGTCAAGGCCTACCTAGAGGATACTGTTCTTTTCTAACTAGGTAAGTTTGGCAATGTCAATGTATGCTTTTGAGTTATGTATATCAGTAACGATAGCAGCCGA